GCTAGTGTGGCGCATTCTTTGTCAAAGGGTACAAGGAAAGATGCAAGGTCCTTGGGCTGCCGAGGGCCTGGAACAACACTGAGACAAAGTAGATGTTTGAGATGTGTCCGAACAGTGGATGGCAAGCTGTAGATTTTAAGAAGCAATGGTGTTGCTGATGGTCCACCGCGTCGTCGACCAAAGAGGAGGAAGCCGTTGGTACAAAGACCAAAAGCAATATCGTGGGGATCAGAGAAGAAGGCGTGCTTGAGCTCCTCCTCATCAACAACAACCTTAGTGTGCAGCATCTCACGGTATCGCTCTGAGCTGAACACATCTGACACGACATTTGGATCATGAACAAATGTAGAGCGGTATTGAAGCTGCTCGACCATTGAGAGACTCTGGTAGAAGGCGCAAAGTCGAGGAATAAGTGGGATGTAGGTGAATTGGCGATGAGGACGTCCGTTTGGTCTGAATCGCGGCTGGTTGCAGTAAGGACAGATCTGGAGGTCGGCATGCTGCCCTGCATAGTATATGCATGAGTCGACGCAGCAGTCGTACTGCTGTGGCTTGAGATCTGCCAGGAGAGCAGCTTGCCAGTTGGTGACATACCATGAGCTCAGGTCCATCTTGTGTGTAAAGGCCCTGCGAATACTATCAAAAGTCTCTCGAGACATTGTGGGTGACATAACTCGAAGGCCGTACGCTTGTAGGTCGTCCTGGTCTTGCTCAGTGATAAGTTTATTGCCTGCTCAAAGCAGCTCAGTTTGTGAATATTGATGTAACTGAAAGACGTACGGTTTTTGTGAAGCTCGATCTCAATATCTACATCCAGGTTGTCAAGCATATCCACGAACTCATCATTAGAGTCTGCAGAAATATTTGATCCTGAGTCGAACCCCAACTCTCCAAGCCCTTCGTCATCTATATCGTCAGGCCTCCGACCAAGATTAGAGCTGGTCGAGCTTGTAGTGCTTTCCGACATCTTCTTGTTAACTTCACTCTTGCTGGAATCTGCACCGCCACTATCCGACAGCTCAGATTCATCTTCGGCAAGATATCCATAGTCCACCTCAGATGGCTCATCCACATCCATGTTGTTGACATCAGCTCCATGTTCAAACTCGATATTGCCAGGTTCAAACTCGTCATCACCAGGCTTAAACTCGTCACCATCAGGCTCGAAGTCGGAACCATCAAACGGTGTGTCTTCGACCTCTTCTTCATCTGACTCAGCGGTCTCGAAAGATTGAGTTTTATCTGCTCTGCCCAAAACTTCCATTCGTTGTTTGTGGTGCCGGCGAGACCAATAACTGAGAAGTTTCCCACAGGTTGCCTTACAACGACAGCGACGTTTGGCCCCACGTGAACTTGGTTGTGGCATTCAAGGAGGGGTATATGGGGTACAAAATGATGAAGAATGTTGCCAGACAATGGAATAAAGAAGGTGTGCAAATAGATCTTGCTTGGTTGTTTGTCTGAGCGAGCAACTCGCCCAGTTAAGGAAAGCTCCCTGTGTACTCTGCAGTAGTTACAGCTAAGATTAGTTTTAGAGATAAGTACCATGGTTGACAAACATACCTCGTCTCTTTATTGCTCTCAATTCTGCAAATGCAGTTCGTGTAGCCGTTAAGCCGACGTCACGGTATGTGCCAAATGCAAGTCAATTTGTGTAATGCAAGCACATAAGCTAATATAAATCAAAAGTCAGTATAGCATTGGAATGAAATAAATGGGCCTTACATAGTGAGGCTTGCTTCAACATTTAGACAGCGTCGCAGATGCCAGATCAGACCGCAGGTGGACATCTCACCGTTACCGTGATAGCACGTGACATGTGTGAACGTGCGGTCACTGCGGTGCGCGGCGCGGTCATCACTTAATCCTATTGAACACGTCTCAGAATAATCAGCATGCCCAATAATTCTATACACAAGTCTGCACGCACCAAACCTACTCGAAGGAAGAAGAAGAAAGGTGCAAATACTTTGGAACGTAAGCAGCAGCTTGCCGACCAGGACAATTACAGCACATTGACCTTTGGCTCACCAAACTCAGAGTCGCCAGGCAACAGGCTTCGAGAGGCTAAATCTACCAGAAACCACCGGCGACTTATTCCAGAGCCCACAGGTGAGCCAGGTCACGGAGGAGACAAAGGATACAACCTACAAAAGGAGCTCCTGCCGGAAGATAACTCAGATCGCTACAACCGCCTCAGAGTACGTACCACAGATTATATGCAGCATATTCTAACTATCCTGCTGCAGCTCTCTGTTAGAAAGCGCACTCCGCAATATCTGAACATGACAAAAACACTTAGCAGGCAGCCCAAGCTCAAGCTGGCACATTTTGTCCAGAAGGTAAGGTTCTTCAATATTCATGGGTAAGCCGAAGGGCAAAGCTCAAAATGATGAGTATAGATGGTGAAGAAATTCCCATATTTCCAAGATTTTGAAGATGGCTGGCCTGTTCGAGCCATCTTGTACGGCTACTTAGGAAACAGTGCCCGTTGAATGAAGGATATCTTTGCTAAGAAGAGCAAGCAGCACAGTCTTCGCCTGATAGAAACAGGAAAGGTAAGCATATTAGCCAAAACTAATTCTCAA